TTGGCCACATGCGTTTGATCCATTCATATGAAAAACAATATCTCTCAGCTCAGAAAGTGTTAATAAACTATAAACTAATAAATCTTCGCGGTCCCCTGGGCGTTACGCTGCTGAAATTTCCCTGCGCTTTGCCGCAATGTTACCATACATTTAGACATTACATAAGCAGCTGTAAAAAATATTTGTCCCTTCCTTTTACAAGATAGAAGTCGCCAATGGCACAGCAAACACCGAAAATTTTAAATTGTTCAGTAACTAACCCGCGCCCCGTAGGGCTATCGGCGGAGGGGGCCGTAGGGGAGGACCGTTTCGGCCCCCCTAAGATCTCGGAAATTTACCGGCCGATTTTCAAAATTCAAACGATGTTCGATAGCCCCACCGGGGAACTATCTTGTGACCAAATTTCATTGACCTAGGTCAGACCGATGACGTCACAGGTCAGGTCAAAGGTCGGATTTTCACCGTTCACAGGCATTTCAAGAAATGTGTTGTGAAATCGAGTAAAATGGTAATTTATTGAAAACCATCGATGGTGCATTGTTTGTCCAACACATACTTTACTACCTGAGGTCACTGATACCAGGTCAGGTCACAGCGAGGTCAGGTCACCGGGGGTCACGATATGAAAGTGTCGTGTGATACATGTTTTATGGTCCATTTTACATAATAAATGCGATTATGTGGGTTAGGCAGCCTTTGGGTTCCAGCCTGGGTCACATTTGGGTGAAAGTCAGGTCAAGGTCAGGTCAAATTAGGTCAAATTTCAAAGTGGATATTTTTGCATAAAATGGGCATCAATTCGATGCAGCTCGTCACGGGGAGTCTAATGGTGGCCTTTGTTCTGCTCTACAAGGTCTAGAATTGCCAAAAAATGAGTTTGAAAATTTGACGTCATCATTTATGAACAGTTTTTTCGCTATAACTTGGCCAAAAAAGGAGGTATCGATCTGAAATTTGGTATGTAGGTAGAACACGGTAGGTACTATCACATATATTCCAGTTTTCTCGAAAATCAAAAAAACTTTTTGGATTTTTTGGCTAATATATCAAAAAAATGTTTTTTTTTATATTTGGGGTTCAAAACTCAATCTCAAAAATCCGAGATGGTAGTTTTGTAGCCCTGTTAATTCTACACCTTTTATGTTTCGATTTTTTTCCTGTATCTTCAAAGCTGTAGGCCTGACAGGTCTTCTTGCGAAGGTCTTTTTTTGGTCGAAAATGTCAGAACATGACGTCATTTTGACGTCATTTGTGGCCAACGTATCATAGCCTTTGGAAAATTTTGGTCACAATGTGTAAAATTGATGCCCGAAGGAGTCCTGAAAGTTTGGTGGCGATATCTTCAGCCGTTTAGGAGATATCGACGGAAAAGGACAGGGAAGGGCCGTTTCGCCCCCCCCCCCCCTACGGGGCGCGGGCTAAGAAGGGCCCATTCCGACACACAAGCGATCACGTCACCAGTGGATGTCTGGGTCTAGAGATCACAGGTATACCCCGGGTCAACCCTCGCCAGGTGCGGTCGCTAGCCACATTGTCGGCTCTCCACTACCCCTCCCCCCCGCCCCTCCATACCTCGCGCGTGACTCGGCCGACCGCGATGGCACGTTGGTGAGCCAAGCGACCTTTGACGTGACAATTTAATTTCGCACTAATTCAGGATAGCTTCCGTAAAAGTCATGCCGGTTAATTGGAACCGAATATCGTTTCCGTGAATTTTTACTGGATTTCTGTTCACCCGGGTAATTTACTGCAAAAAGCACCGTGAGGATGAGCATATAGCGTGCCACCACGATGGACAATCGTGCGAAATAAACTGAACGAAGGAGGACGTATCCGTATTGTGCACGTTGCGAGCCAGACTTGGTCGTTTGCCATAGATTTGCGAACATCAGTATGTGCAAATGGCATGACTTGCAACAGCGCAATGAAAAATACACACAAACAATTTATTTGTAGCTCTGTAAATGCGAAAAGCAAATCGAAAAGCAAACCAAAACGAATGACCTAGTAGCAATCATAAACTTTTTATTATTCAAGTACTGCGTTTCTGAGCTTTATTAGCATCCTCAAATGATAACAATTGCCAGCTCGTTTCGATGAGATACACGTGCAAGCCACATCAAGATAACCAGACATCCAGGAAAGTAGACATTTACTATACGAGATACACAAGAAGCGTGGAAGTTTCCCAGTGACTAGCGGCACGCTCCATACGAAATGTCAGTCTCCTCGTCACTTGGGCCCTGCCTCAGGCGAGAGACTGACTGAGAGGCACCAGCTCGCTCCGGACCACGTCTGTGTGTGCTGTTTAACGACCGCCTTTACCGGCGAGGTGTGCGTCATTCGCTGCAATGGGGGTCAACTGGGCTGATTACGGTCGGCAGGCAGTCAGACGAATGGCACACTCATCCATCGTGGCTGGTTAGTGGCCACAGGGCGAGGAGGAGGGAGGGGAGGAAGTAGCCCCGGGGAGGAGAGGAGAGCTAGAAGAATGCTGGAGGTGGGCGAAGAGTATGCAGGTGGGGAGTGTTGGAGATCCGAGGTAGAAAACAAACGATGATAAAGAAAGTTGAGTAAAAGGTGGGTGACTAGGACACGGGAAGAACAACTATATGGGAGGATGAAAGCGATGGTTAAAGAGGAGGTGAATATGCCAAGGGAAAAGGCTGTCTGCAGGGGACAATATTGAATTTTGAGAAATACTATAGGTGTTAAAAAATAATGTTGGCGGTAGTGCGAACCGTTCCAAACAACTGTGGGTACGATTGGAACATAAAATTGAGTGAGATCAAACCAGAAGTCGGTTGGCTGGGTTGGTTCGGGGCTTGTGTGCCTTTAAACAGCCCGTTTTGTTTAACTAAGAAATGAAAACATTCTGCAACTCGCTTAGCAAACAAGCTCAGTAACAATCACATTTTCAAATTATGGCTGCAGAAGCAACCAACTATGACCTTGGGCAAATAATGTGCAATGTTGAACACTGCCTTGAGAAACACTTCCACGCGCGGCCCAAATAATTAATTCTGGCCCAAACTCGAGGCGGGCGGCTCGACAAAAACGACTCCAACTTCTCGTGACCAGGGCGGCTGCCTGCTCTGACAGTCAAACGAGCCAGAGCTGTCGGAAAGAAATGTTAATTACTGGCTGGCCCGTCAAACAGGAAGCTTTGTTCGTTCCAAGATGGCTGCCCGGCTCCGCAGCAGCAGTCCAGTCTAATATTTCCGCGGACGCTATTAAATTTCGAAATCCATGAGATTAATTTCGCGAGTTGGAGTCGAGTTATTGGACGGCGCCAGAAGAAAGAGGGATTTGTTCTCGAGCCGGGTGCCCGGCGAGATAACCAGCCTCGTAAATCAGCGCCGCTAAATTTGACGGCTATGGCGGCCGGCCGGCCCTGTGTTAATTTCATGATTATACGGAGCGGCTGGCCAGACCGGCGGCAATGGTCGCCAGTGAATATCTGCAGCCGGGTAATGTCGCTCCATTTTAGTCCGTCTGTGGCCGGCTTGCGGCAATTCTGAGCCGAGTTATTCTGCGCACGAGGCCGCGGATATTTGGAAGCGCTGATTTATTAAAAGTGTCGCAATCAGCGACCGTTCTTCGGCAGTTCGTGCCGCTGCGGTGAGGCTCAGATCTTAGACGCGCACGACTAAGCAAGCGACCCATCGGGCTGCGGCTGGAATTAATGATGCCTTTCCTCGCCGCTGATGAGGGCTGATCATTAAAACCCGCCTCGTCGTCATGGAAACCGATCCGGCAACAACCCGGCAAAATATACGATTCCTTTACTCAAATTGACAGAAAACATGATTTTCTCTTGACATTAATTTCAGTTTAAGCATCCCAGCCGAAAACATTCATTACGGACGGGTGGATCGAGCCAGCCTGTCCAAACACTATAATGGCCCGACGTCAAGTAGCCAGTAGGAAATTGCAGCTGGCGGGCAGGGCACATACGAGTGGCCTGTCATTAAACTAGAGGCGGGAGTCGCCGCCGGCACAAACAAGAGTACACAGCGTCGCCGAGGCGGCGCACGGGACCGGGCCAACCGGCAGAAAGTCAAACGACGCCTAATGAAATGGTCAAAGAGAGGCCAAGGCGACTGGCAACTCTAAAGACGCACGCGTAGGCTTTGAGCATAGCCAAGAGGGTCGCCCTGTATAATTATGATATGAAGGGTAATTTCTGACGGTGTTTGATGATCACCATGAACAAACAGCGACGGACGTGAATATGTTGCAACAACCTTGTTGAGTCACAGAAAGCTGGCTTACATAAGTAAGCCTGCGTGCACTTTGTGATAGCTGGCGGAAAACAACTATACTTATATTTGCTGTTCTAAAATTTAAAAATTCACCACCTGGCAGTCTGAAAAATGACAAAAAATGCCGCAAAAACTTACGAGCACCACGCAACGTCCCACTTTAACGTCTATATAAAGTGATACACGTTTTGACAAATGTGATATCAAGGAAAAAGTAACCACCTACAATCAGGAATGGACGATAGAAAGTTTGTTAATGCATTTTGTAATGTGTTATCAATGTTCTGCATGCAACTAGCGAGCGTTGAACTTGATTTACGTAATCCGTCTGCAAAGTGTATGAAGTTGAGCTTCAAGACATAAAACGGTTCAGTTTAATTTTCAAAATTACTTTCTCACGCGCAACCTATGTAAAGATAGTAATAATTGGAGATTGTCAGAGAGTATTGGAGATTCGTTTGCGTCTTAACGTTACGAGCTGTTGTCTTGTTCTTACACGCTGCTTACAAAGCCGCCATTATGTCCTGTTTGGATAACTGCTCGCTACTGCCCTACGCTTGCATTCTATCTCGCAAAAACCACCCAGCCTTTCCCTTCTCTGCGCTGCATCTGCCGTGGTGCTTCCTCCGTCCGTTTTGTCCGAGCTCACCGTTTCCGCCGCTGTGCTCTAGTGTTCTGTGTTGGCTCGTGTTTTTCTCGTCGGTCTCGGCAGCTGATGTTGTGTGTGTTTTTCAGAGCGGGCGGCGGCCGGCGCTGGAGCTGCGGACGATCGATCGAACACGAGCCAGCCGGCCGGCCGGAGGGCGCTTTTTAGCCGCCATTTTGCCGACTCTTTTGTTGACTGCCGGCGGCGTTAGAGGTACGATGGGCCGACTGGTGACGCTCTGGGACCTCCGCTGGGGAGGGGAAGGGAGGGTGATGACGTCAGGTGTGATCCCGGGGAGTGGGCAGGGGCAATGACTGCAGGTTGGGCTGGTGATCGCTGGTTTGAAGCGTGAGATATTGCATAGAACAGGTCAGTTGTTGGAGGTTCTTGTGAGCATTTCGTGTTCAACTTATTTAGCTGGAACTAAGTGGTGGAGGATGTTTCCTGCTGTTATTCTATTGCAACACTAAGACAACTTTTATCAAAGCAGTAAATATTTTCAGCGGCAGCTTAGACACGGAATTGCTATATAAAAAACGTCTTTCGGGCAGTTGTTTTTTTTCAGAAAAAAAAAACAGAATGTGTGCGTCTCATACCTAGACGGTTCACAATAAACCGTGTAATAAATCAATTGGATAGTTATTTCTTACACGCGGCACTTTTCATAAGATTTTTCACTTTGCCCTTGTTCTAACGCAAGTAGTGATGCATATTCGCTATCATGCAGATTGTGACGGGCATTTGTTTCACTCCTTCACAGCTCCCCGAGTGCCGACAACCGTTCAACAATGGACACATTCCGGAGCGCGGCGGGACCAGAGTGCGCCGCGGTACGGCTCCTCACCTGCCTTCACCTGTCGGAGGGCCGCCAGACAGCCGACCAGAGTGTCGTCCATTTTCACACGGCCAGGGTTCAACTACCAGCAGCACCTGTCGGTAGCTGGGAGCCAAGGCGCCGCCGAATGCTCATCTGTGGCTTAACAGTGATTCACCTAAAACTTAGCAATGGCTCATTCGATAAAATCAGCGGTGGTATGCAGTAAATCGTCCAAAACGGCAACTATGGTTCATCGTTGCCCCAGTGGTGACTCAATTGAGACTCAGTGATGCAGCCGACACTCAGTGGCGACTCAGATGAACTGGCAGCTGACTCCACTGCCGTTCAGTAACAATTTCGGGAGGGCTCGACGAGTGCTCACGCTCAGGCCTGTCCCACTCAGTTGTGAGGGTGGAAACCCTTACTGTTGCGATATTTTTTGTGGCTTGGGTTCTAATCAGTGCGACTTGCTGCCTAATGGTGTGATGAAATTGTTTAGAGAAGGGATTTTTAACGACATTTGTTTGTGATTTACCATTCCACTTTCCATGCTGAGATGAATGTTGACTCATAATTGAAATTGTCTAACTTCTTACATATTTTGTATTTTTAGCGCAAATCATTTTCGTCATTTTCCTTTTCACTTCCCATGGAAATCAGATGGAATAGTAGCCTTTTGCTCATAACTAAAGTAAGCTAAAAACAAATCCCAGAACAAAGCCTATTTCTTGGCTTTGTTTTTAGCGTACTTTGGTTATGAGCAAAAGGTTACTATTCCATCTGATTTCCACTATATTCATAATCATGCTAAAAAAACGTTCCACACCATTCAATTTTCACTTCCCAGTTTTAATTTGCTCGTGCCTCCTGCTTGGTTTGTTTTAATGACTGCGCCTGTTTCTGGGCTCTGTTCTCGACGGCGAGTCCCCCTCTTTCCCTCCCATCCCCGACTTCCTTTCCTTTTGTGGTGACTACGCGAGGGAAAAACTCGCCCGAGGCCAAAATCAATGGCCGCTCCAGCCGACGAATGTGCAGCGAATACTGCAGCTCTGCGCTGGTTCGGCGACTGAAGGGTCGCTTGAGGTGGATTGTGGAAGCAGGCAATGGCCGCGTGTTTCAAAAGTTCCTGAATACATATTCGGGTTGTTGTTACTTATTTGTTCTGATGTTTTGGGTATATTTTTAAGTGTACTTGTCATGTTTTTGGAGTGTAAGTTCTAGGCGTTTGTTCTGAGGCGATTTGTAGAAGGTGCTGGAGATACAGGAAGAGCTTTTTTGCAGAATGTATAAAACGCTATGTGCGTATGCATGAATACACTAACATGTGTCCGGGAAATAACACATGAACTGAATGTTGACCCTATTGCTGTTTTATGGTGGGAACTGTGCAGGACGCGAGCGGCGCCGAGGGCCGTCCACTGGTACTGAAGTAACTTATCGGTGACATTTATTGTCCGATTCCCCGTGTGCAGTTCGTTCGCATGCTAGTTTTGAAGACTGTGAATAAAGGAGATAAGGTACTGTCGTTTAACGGGGCAAATGCAGACAGAATTACGACACTCAGCTGTCTTTAAGTATGTCGAATGTCGTCGAAAACGGAGGCATCACAACAACAATAAATTACGGCCTCGTCGTGTTGTAAATCAAAGACTTTGCAGTCCAGCTATGATTACGGGCATTCATTTGCCTTTCGTTTCGGATATTGTATTGTACCCGTTGTACGAGGAGAGCTTAGTTTATAGGGACAAAGTCGTTGTCAATCGTATGATGCCATGTTTCAAACCGTAAACACGAGAGATCGTAAAATATTAGATTTGCGGGCACTCGCAGAGGCAAATCACGCATGACAGAGAACCGACAAATAGTTGTACACGCTTTGATCCGTTTTGAAGCACTAAAATTACGAAGACGTAGGAACGGAGCTATTAATGTAATAGATCATGGTTCTTTTTATAGCTGTTTAGTTGATACCGTCAAATAAATATAATCATCAATGTATCTCTGTTTCAATTATAACCTAAAAACAATTTTGCAAATAATATCGCTAAATAACCCAAGAAGTGTGCGACCGCCACCATCTTCTCAGAGCATGGGGCGTTCTCTCCCGGCCTTTGTTGGAAATGTTTCTGGGTAGTTCCTCGGTGCTCCAACTCAGCCTCGCTGTCTCGGAGCGCCCGCTTCCGAAAACGTGCCAACTTTGCCCGTTTCATCTAAAGGCTGTCCAACTTTTCTAATTAAAACTTTTTCATTAATGCCGTCAGGTAAATACTTGAAACGCTGCCGGCGGATTCATAAACGCGCGAGCCTGGCAAACACTGCACCCAGGCAGAGTATAGGGGTATACGCGGAAGAGTTGTCCCTCTGCACTCTCCGCGCTGTTTATTCTGGGTGGGCGTGAGATGGCCAGCAACTAATAAGAAACCTTTTTATCCTAGGAATGATGCTAAAGTCACTGTTTTAATGCATAAGAACGATTCAACCATTAATAACGCTACAAGCTGCAACCAAAGGAACCACCGACCTGGAATTTAGTTTGTGAATACTCAGAACAATTTTGCTCATGAGTTGATTCAATCGTAGCACAAAGAACGAAAACGACTCAAGGCATTTACAACGCGATGGAAACACTCCGGCACCAAACCATAAGAAGTTTTCCCCAAAACAGTGGAAGGTTTATTGCATATAGCATGAGTTAACTTCAAAACTGATAAAATCAGCAAGTTTTTTTTTACTTTTCTAATTTATTGAATTAACTTCTTTAAATTTTCCGTGTTATCTTTATCCACTCCGTTCCATGATCTAAAATTGTAGTTTTGCTATAAACAGAAGTGGCTCTAATTGGACTATACAAACTAGCTATCCAAGATGTGCGTCGCTGCAGACTTTGCGTGTCATTTCGAACAAGCCTGGTGATGATGGTGGCTGCCTTGCGTTGCCCTCTAGAACAACACTCACGATATTATTTTGTTTACATCACATTCGCATGAACTGGAAATAGGTACGATTCAGCCTGCGCTTCCAAAGTAAGCATGAAATCTACTGTAATGATGAAATTGTGCCTGGTATTGCTCATTGTGTCAAGTGTGGTCCAGGGATGCCACCACAAAAAGGAGCCACCAAAGGTCCCCGTGTGCGACCAGCCGATGAAAAAGGGACCTTGTCGAGAGAGGATCCCACGAATATACTACGACAAGGAGCAGAACGGATGCCGAGTGTACATGTGGGGAGGCTGTGAACCCAACGAGAACAACTTCAGACATCTGCGCGACTGCCAGAGGGCCTGCTGCAGACATAAGAAAAAGAAGTGCAACGACAATCTGGTTCCAAACATAATTGGTGGATATATGTAATACCATGTTAGGAGCAAAATATAATAAACCTGTACTCTATAGTGATTTACCAGTCAGAGGTTCTCTACTTTGTTAGACACTTCGGGCTGTAGAAAGTGTAAGATCAAAATTCGGTCGCAATGTTCCAACAACGCTCTCCGCCGCACTATCCCGTACCATGTCCATGCTAATCGCCTCCCATCCAGTATTATGCTCTAATGGCACTATGATATGGGTGACTGGAGACTTGTTAAACGAGCACAGTGTGTGGTGCCCGGCACTTACCAGGTGAGATTACATGATGACGGTGATTGCCTTTTTATTTATAGTACATGATACGTCTAAGCGGCTGTTTCTCCGACGGCTGTGTCATGAGTGCTGGATGCTCGCTGTTCAGTTACAGACCCGCCTGCTCCCGCAGTGCAAATACATTTGGCACGTGATGACGTGCAAATTGTTCATGGGTCCGACCGCAGAGCCAGTTGTCAGTGCTAATTCTGTGCTTTGGTTTGCAAAGTCGCTTCGATAGCAAAATGCAAAATGCAAAAAAAAAAACAAATATTCATATTTTATACCCACCATGCGTCCTTACACACGCCATCAATTTTTTTGTTATTATATGGAAGCAATCCTGCAAACTTCTGAACGGTCGTTTCTGGTATCGCCAGACGCAGTCCGCAAATTATCAAGTGTTATTTTCTACCCTTCGTTTAACCCGCGCCCCGCTGGGCTATTCAGCCATACGCGCGCTGCTGGGGGGGAGGGCAGATTCTGCCCCCCCCTGTCTAACTTCCGAACCGATGGTCTTAGAAAGACGGGGAAAACGGCAATCGAAAGCTCTCAACAAGGCGGATCTTAAGAGCCCAAATTTTTTTGCTTAAGTAGGTCAGAGGTCAGGTCAAGGTCAGGTCAAGGGTACAAAATGCAAGTTTCTACAGTATCGGCCTTGCACCGTAGTTGCCGAAGAATGGACTGAGACTGATTGCCCAAAACGTGTTCTTAGACTACCAAGACAATATTCGTTGCACACAATGTCATTCAAAGGTCAAGGTCAAGGTCAGGTCAGGTCAGGTCAGGTCACCAAAAACAAAATATAGAAAAGGGCATGTGCGACACATGTTTTATGGGTCATTTTACTCATGGAATTCAATAGGCACACTCAATAAGTGATATGGACCACCTCTGGATGAATTTCAGGTCGAGGTCAGCTCAAGGTCAGGTCAAGTGAGGTCAAATTTTGAAGTTGGTTGTTAAGGCCTAATAAGGTGTCTGTCCGATGCAGTTTTTCACGGAGAATCGAATGGTGCTATTTTTGTTTCCGTACGAGGTCTAGAACTTCCAAAAAAATCTTTTTTCAAAAAATTTGTGCGTCGTGACGTCATAAAATTTTGAATAACTCCCACATTTTTGAACCGATTCTTCTAAAAATTGGTATGTAGGTGCACATAGACCACTTCTTTGACATGTATTCTGTTTTTTTCGATAAACTCAAAATTTTGGATTTTATAAATATTTTCCCAAAAAAGTCAGTTTTTTGGAAAAATTTTGGCAAAAATCCAAAATTTTCAAAAAACCGAGATAGCCATTTGATAGACAAAGAAGAATCACGTATAACCTTTTTTGTTACGTCTTGATTCCTCTAAAAATGAAGATGTTAGCGGCGTTTGAAATTTTGCCGTTTTTGAGGCGAAAATGGCGAACATGACGTCACTAAAACGTCAATTTCTCAAAAAATTTCCGACGGATTTCGGTTAAAATTTTCAGGGAACGTGTCAAATTGATGTATGATAAGGTACTGAAAGTTTGACGTCGCTGGCGTAACGCGTTTAGAAGTTATTGGCGAAAAACGGGAGGGGGGGGGGGCAGATTCTGCCCCCCCCCCAGCGGGGCGCGGGTTAACCCTCGCCCGCACATGCCATTTTCCCATCCTAGAACGCACATGGGGGGGGGGGTGTGGTTGCCACCCCCCCCGCGCCATTTCGTTCCTGTTGGAGATAGAGCTTAGCAGTAAAGACCAAAAAGATTCTTTGGGAAGAGACGAATCCAATGATACCCAGTTTTACCTTCTCAGGTCAGTCATTGACCTTCCAGGTCAGGTCAAACTAAAAAATGTTGCTGTTTTGGGTCACCGTTGGATATCAAGTGCGCTGCTAATCAAATACCGATGACGATGCTGTTTTCTGGTGCCAAGCCAGCTAGAACCTCTTTGTCACACTATCCGACCAGAATTTTGCTGCTGATGTCATTTCAGGTCAAGTTAGGTCAAGGTCAATTATATGTGTTTGTATGTCTGTGTGTGTCTGTGTGTATACTGATGTGTGCACCGATTGTTTTTGGGTCCATATCACATGAAATCATGATCTGAGAAGCCTTTACCAAAAATACAGTCAAAAAACTTCACAAAAAGTAAATTCAGCTTGCCTAAACCGCAATTATCTTAGATGACCTAGGTTGACCTTGACCCTGACCTTGACCCCTGTACATCGTCGAACAACATGTTCCATGATAGGTGGGAGGTAAGACTGGCAAAAAAGGCCGAAATCAGGGTGTCAAAAGCTCACAAGGCCCATGGCAAACGCAAGATGTTGAGAATTGGCCATTTGGGTCATGACATAACCTGAAAAACAAGGTCATATCTCCGAAACCAAAAATCACAGAAACTTGAAATTTTCAGTGGACATCAAGAAAGGATAGACGAGCAGCTATACGAAAAATCAGCCGTCTAGCTCTAAAAATGTTGAGTGCAGAGCAGAAAGACTGCCTGGGGGGGTGGCAACCACCCCCCCATGTGCGGGCGAGGGTTAATGACGAAGGCGAAGGTATGACACGGCTTAACCCTATTAGTGGCAGGAGGGGTTGTTTTTATCCACCCCTCAGGTTTTTCGGGAATATCTCCGAAACCGCTGAAGCTACGATGCTGAAATTTTCTGACTTTTCCTAAAACTAAATTGGGCACATTCCCTGAAAATTTCAAGTTCATAACTTTACCAGGGGCGGCTCCAGAGCACTGGGAATTGGGGGTCCTATTCGTGAAGCGAGTCATTTGGGCGAAGATCACGATGCTGCACCAGTTTTACGAACAGTGAATGAAAGGTATCATGTGATAACATATACAAAGTTATTGTGCATCCTCTTTTGACACGTTTTTGCTATAATAGGCGGATCCAGGCGTCCAAAAAGGGGGGTTATTTTTTACCTCCCAACATAGGTGCCCTGACACCGCCTATGCATGAC